AGAAAGAAAGAAATTATCCTTCTGGCCACAAAGAATCCAGGCAATGGTACAGCCAAAAGAGTAAAACGCAAGCAAATCGAGAGGCTTCCAGCGTAACAAGGCACGTTGGTTAAATCCTTCTGAAAAATTAACCAAAGTAGGCATTATAGGACATCAAACATGAAAACATTTGCATGCACAAAATGTTTTTGAACCAGGTCCTATTTTCTTATTCAAAATATAAATAAAATAAAAATAAAATAAAAATCATCTCGGAATGCAGAACTCGCCGTCCTGGGTCACTTTCCAGGCCGCCCCAAGTCTCGTCTGCACCACCCGAGAACGCTCATCTCGAGAAACTGACACCGCCGGGCTCCGAGCCTTAGATAGAGCGAGACCGCCGTCGTCAACAGATTCGAGACCGCCGCTCGATTTGTCTGGCTGGACTGAACGAGACCGTCTGCCCGACTTTCCAGCACGGTGCCATTCGAACCTAGAAAAACCTATATAAGGGGGCGCGTGTGGGGGTTTCCTCACACACTCTCCAAGCTCTCCAAAACCTGCAGCCCTCCAAAACCTCCTCCGCACGTCTCTCTGCCTCGGCGATGTCCAGCAGAAGTGGCTCCAGTGAGAGAAGGGGGTACCACTGGTAAAGCTAGCCCCGAGCACCACCGCCACCCCAAGACCCTTCTCAACTTCAACCGTAAAACACTCGTCTGGATAATCTTGAGGAATGACCGATGCACTCTCTCGTTTACATCTGCAACAGGCCACGAACACTTAGCTGAGTTCGGATGGGAGGGAGGGTTGGTCTCGAGCACATATTGATAGGATTCGGCTGGGTTCCTGTGAGCTGCCACCCGTTCACGTGTACCCACAGAGGCGGGGTTCGAGCCTTCTCGGCCTCCCGGTCTCCCTATCGAGATCCCCTCTATGGCTCTTTGGCATCAGCCCACTAAAATGGTCAATTACTTTATGAATGGGCAATACCATACTACCACTTTGGAGGAGTTCAATGTCTCCATTGGATTCATCCTGCCCAGGGAGGCATTTAGGACTCTGTAAGAACTCAGGAGGTCATTCTGCCTCTCAGGCCCACCCCATTTTACCACTCAAGACATGTGGCATGACCTCAGAGGGGATGATATGGCGGACCTCTTGATGCAGGGGTTGGATCTCACCGCTCCGCATCCGCCACAAAGTGCGCGGGAGGCACCGTCCACGGAAGGAGAGTCAGGGAGACACTCCCTCCCCCAACTCTCTTCCATCTCCTCTACCGCATGCACCAGAGCGGCCGCCTATCCAAGGGACTTCTCGAGGGCCCTGAGATTTTCGGGAGCAGATCCACGGGGGCCATCCTCGCAGCTCCCCCCCCCATCACCCCTCTAGCAGAGATAATGGGTGCCCTGGCCAGGAAGAGCTGGCCAGCCTTCGACCTTAGCCCATTACCGGGTCGATGCCCTGGTCAGCATGGGGGACGCCGTCAGCAGACCAGGGGGTCAGCTTTCCCCTAACACCCCACCCTGGACTTCGAGCGTCTTACCTCCAAGGGAGTGGTCACGGTAACTATGCAAATCTCGCACCCCCCACTTCCCGCGAGCAGGCAACAGCCCCCACAGCAATATATACGACTTCGCTGGCATGCACCAGCATATGGACTATTTGACGCAGCAATTCAGCCAGATAGCAGTGTGGCGAAGAAGATAGAGATCGCTTGCAGGAGACCCCAGGATGCTCTCATGCAGGCCTTTGAGAGGCCAAACGAGATCCCAAGAGCAGCAAGTACATACTGGCAGGAGTGGAGAACGGCATATGACTAGGATTACAAATGACGAAATCGAACAGGTCCGACTTTCGCTACAACATGTATAGATATTTCCCCACTCGCCCCCTTCTGTGAGATGATGATAAGTCTTAGGGGGCGGTACGGGTTAAAATAAGAGTTGCTGTAATGAAATTTTCTTTATTAATAAAATTTTATTTCCCGCATTCTTTGCCTTCTTTTACAAAAGCCAGTCTAACAAAAAAGAAAGCTTAGAAAGGAAAAAGGCATATCAAAATAAAAAGCCCAAAATCCATAATTGAAGAAAAAAGAAAATAAAACCGCGAGGAAAAGGCAGTGATAAAAAATTAAGACTACCCTAACTAATAAAAACCAACGCCTACTCAAGCAAAAAAAGTCAAACACAAAAAAGAAGACTCGGACTATACCAGCAAGAGTCGGAATAACCACCAACAAAAAATCAAAAGAACAAAATCCCCAGGATCAATGAAGCTGGATGACAACAAACCAAATCCCCGAAGATACTTGGATGACCATCAAGAAGACCAAAGAGATCTCACCAGGAGAGCCTTGCATGGGCCAGATATGAAACGGTAAGCCGCCTACCACCCTGTATGGGGGTTCACACCTGGATCGGTCCCACACAACGGACCGTACCACCCTGATGGGAACTTCAGACCCATCTGATCCCACACAACGGACCGTTACCAGCCTTGACTGGGTTTATACCTATTAACCGAGGATTCTTCGGCTACCAAGAGAGGATCTGTAGGTTTGACCACTCATCAACCGAAAGGATCGGCTATGTCCAAGAGTACAGAAAATTTGGAGGTTCTACCACTCATCAGCCGAAGGATCGGCTACGTCCAGAGAAGTATCCGGAGGTTACTACCGCGTGTCTGACCAAAGGGATCGGCTACGTCAAGAGTAGTATCCTGAGAGGCGCACAAACACAACATCTCCCCGAGGATCATCGCCCACACAAGACGGGACTGTCCAGAAGGGAGCCGGCCACGAGCTTCAACTCCTTTACCTTCCTGTCAACTGCCTGGCACAACAGCCAACAGATTGACTAGTCAGGTAAAGGGGGGCATCTGTAGACCCCAAATCTTGCCCAGCCTCCAAATAAAGTCGAAAGCTTCCTATTTGAAGACGACTAGAGCTTAACAAGCCACTAGGAGAGACTATTAGGCTCCGTACCAAGATAGGAAGGTTTTTTGGCCCAAAATAAAGTTTCTCGCCACGAAGGGACGAGGCCGCCGTCTGGGAATACCGGACCGCCGTCTCGTTTCAACGCCAGGACGAGACCGCCATCTCGATTTTCCAGACGGCGGTCTCGATACTCGCAAAAACGAGACGGCGGTCTCGATTCTCGCCAAGTCGAGACGGCGGTCTGGATTTTCCAGACGGCGGTCTCGACCCCGTGACATGAGCGAGACGGCGGTCTCGAATTACGAGACGGCGGTCTCGACCCTGTCAGGCGAGAACGGCGGTCTGGACCCTGACAGCGCAAAAAACTATAAATAGGGGTCCTCCCCCCTCATTTCCACACCAAGCAGCAAGAGCTCTCCCTTCTCTCTAGATTTTCTCTCTCTAAGAATCCCTCCGAGGCATTTCAGGAGTTTCTGAGCGTCTTTAGGCATAGACTGAGCGTTCTAAATCTTCTTAAGAATCCCTCCGAGGCATTTCTGGAGTTTCTGAGAGTGTAGAGTGAAGGGTTGCCAAAACGCACCTTTTTTTTGAATATAAAGCTTGCTTTGGAGGTGCATATCCTCATTCTCTATTCTTTGAAATTACTGCCATTTAAATTATGCAATAGAAGCTAGGGCAATGTAGTCATATATTTAAATACCGCATAATAAAAGGGTAAAAGCGCAATTTTCCAAGTTTAATTATTCGCAAATAGCCGGCCTATCATAGGGAACCCGAAAGGGGCGTCGTAAAGGGACTAATACTCCCTTTACACGTAACTAACTCCCTTACCCAACTCTGGTTCTAATGACCAAAGTTGGTTTTCGAAAACCAACGCCTTTTTAAACCCCTTTTCCGATGTTTATGGTAAAAATATCGGTGGCGACTCCATAGAACCCAAAATAAATAAGTCCTTGGGTTAGCCCGGTTGTCGGACAACTCAAGGACACTTTTCGAAAACCTCGTCTCTAGGTTAGCTCGGTTATCGGACAACCTAAGGACGTTGTAATCACCAATAAAAAATGCGAAAAACAAGAAGAGTCGAAAAACCATCGCGTTGCTCCGACCGCGCCCCCGTTTTCGGGGAGGCGGCGACAGATGGCGACTCCGCTGGGGAAGCCTAGAGAGTTGATCCCATTTAGTGATGGGCTGGCTTAACAATAATTAAACCAAGAAAATAAGCACTTTTACCCTGCCTTGTATTATAACATGTTTTATTGTTTGGCTTTCAATAAACTGTTGTTTGTTTATACTTACGCAATTGCTTGATATATAAATTGCACACAAGTCCCTTGCACACTACAGTTCCTCCTATACCCGGGGGCAAGTGAGATAACCATAGGGAGTGGGTGGCAGGTACGGTTCGCTGCAGTTAGGGCCTTGTGCCCACCAGTGTGATCGGAAACCACCACTCAAGGTGATAACCTTCCTCTTTTGGCAACAAGACCGACTCTGGCCTTAGTATTGAGCATGGTCGGACGGCTGGAGAGTGGGGACCCTATAATGGGGGCACCTTGGGGGCCTTAGCCTGGTGAGAACAGTTAGAACCTACCCTAACCAATACACTTTTCTGCAGGAGAACCCTACCTCGTGATAAAAACGAAATCTCGCCTGTTCGGGGATGATTGAATTGTGTGTGCATATGTTTGTTGCATTTGTATGTTGCATAGCATAAACAAACAACAGAACAAAATCACAAAAAAATATTTTACAAATAAACACCCTTATCTCGGACAGTCTGCCTTTTAGCTAGCCTGGTTTCGAGTTCTTTGTAAGCTAAGTAGCCACGCTAGTCCGACAGAAGAGATAAGGGACGCTAAATATTTCTTTCGCATAAAGCCATATTTTATCTCGGACAGTCCGCCTTTAAGCTAGCCTGGTTTCGGGTTCTTTGCAAGCTAAGTAGCCACGCTAGTCCGACAGAAGAGATAAAAGGCTATAAAATAAATAAATAAAATATAAAAAATACAAAAACATCAAAAATATATATAAATAAACAAACTTCTGACAAAGTCAACTCATCCATATTACATCATATCATGAGTAAAGAAAAAACCAAGAGAGAAAATAAAAATAAAGGTACATTCAGCATCATCTAAATAAAACCTCTCATACATAAGCATACTCATGATAGTTTAAAAGCACTCAACATTCATTAATAAAACTTTTTCGGACAATCTAGAAAGTGGCTGGTCCTCTCCCCACTCGAACTCGTGCACAAAAAGCCAAGGCAATGGAAAAATTAGAGGAGCAGAACCGAAAACTTTCTGCGGAAGTCGATACCCTCCGGGAGCAGGTAGCCCAACTAATGGAGGTCATACGCCAAGGCCAGAGCAAGGGCGCCGAGGGCCAAGCTGAGTATATCCCTCCTCATGAGGAAGAAGAGGAGGAGGAGCACTTCTTCGGTGATAAGGATGTTAAGACTGCTCGCATCCTTACCCCAGAAGTATCCAAACAACAACTCTCCGCCCTGGAGGAGAGGCTGAAGGCGGTCGAAGGGCATAACTTCGACGTCAAGGAGGTGGCTGA